ATATTATATATAATTAACCAAATTAATTGGGGTATCAAATCAAAGTTAAAGAACCAAATTATTACTATTATATTACAAGTTATATAAATTTGCAAAAGAATTGTTAAATAACCAAATTATATACAAATATGTTATAAATTATATTACATTTTATATAAATAATTATATATATAATTATATTATATTATATATAATTAACCAAATTAATTGGGGTATCAAGTCAAAGTTAAATAACCAAATTACATAAATTTGCAAAAAAATTGTTAAATAACCAAATTATACAAATCATGTATAATTGCAAATTATAAATTATATACAATGTATAAATTAATAATATATATATAATTATATTTCCTTGCGTGAGTTGTCGCATGAAAAAGGAAAATGAAATTACTCGTTGAAGAAGATTCATTACATTTTTGTAGAATGTAAAGATTATGTCTGTGTGTCATTGATGTCGGTGTAGTACGTCGCTGCATTCGCTGTGAGTGCTTTGGCTTCGAACTGGGAGAGACTTGGCAAACCCTTCAACCCGATACTTGGCGAAACCTACGAATTGGAGCGTGAGGACTTCCGGTAAGTGATCGAGTAGTATTCCGTTTAGTATTCAACGCGTGGACGTTGCGCATAATTGAGTAATTAATAACCAAGATACGATCTGTGACTCGATGAATTCATTAATCGAAAGCCAACGTTGATCAACGTGAAAAATAAGATCGTAATCCATCTTTCCGGAAAAAAGAAAATAAGAAGTGAGAATATGTAATTGAGCCTGGACAAGTATTTATATAAATAGATGTATGTCATTGCGACTGCTTTCCAATTAAATGAAGTTAGAATTAATTGGATGTTTCACGTGTCGTTCGTTTTTGTATACTTTTTAAATTAATCTTCGAGCAAACAAACAAACGACTCGACAGGGGAAAAAAAAAAAAAATGAAAATACTAAATATCGTAATAAATGTTTAAATACGTCTGTTTCTGTGCATTTTTGCGACATTTTTCTGCTTCTTCCCGTAAATCACTCATTTTTAAATATAATTGATTATTTGAATTTCATTTGAATTTCATTGAATTAAGTTGCAAGAAAGATTGTAAGAACATCAATGTTCATCTCTCCAAATCTCCCATAGATGCATAAAATCCGTAGTCGAGCCATGGCCCTTAACACCATCTTCCGTTCGAGTTTATAGATTTACGTGTATCCCCATAAATTGCTCGTTCACTGTTAAAGGTTAGAGCGACTATGTAGACATGAAAAAAGGTCGCGAGCCAAACGAATCAATGTGCTCCTCTAGTTAACTTAATCTTTCGGAAGAGTTTCTAAATATAAAACGCAAATTGCAAGCAATCGTCGTTTAATCGATTCCAATCAATCTTCTAGAATAATTTAAATTACTTCCTCGACGACGAGGAAGGTTTTCAGATTTCAGAACGTGTAATTCGTTAGGAGAATTTCGTTTTCGTTTGTTCCTTTTCAATGAAAAAAAAAAAAAAAAGGCCAACGTTACACTATCACTAAGTTAAGCTCTGACATGAATAGTTTAATCAATTATGTCTATGAATACTTAATCAATTGTGTCTATTTTTTATTTTTAATAAATAACATTTTATAATTATTTTCAATAAAATTTATTTTTATTTTCATTTCAATTATTCCTTTTATTTTAAAAATTCTATTTTTTGCACGTAACGCCGATAGAAATTAATCGAGATCGTGTTTTATTATTCTGTGTTACGAAATACACCGTATCATTATTTACTGTCACCATTCAGTATTATAAAATCAAATCGCAGTGATCTATGTTTTACATTCGTTTTTTAAATATGCGATTTTTTCACTGCTGTGTATTTTGAAAATCAGATCAAACTCGAAACACCTGGGAATTGTTGACTGAATTATCCGACTAGAATGTCCTTGTACGAATTTAGGTGCTAATGAATTTTGACAACATTGACAACTCGCACATTTCCGGTGGAATTTGAAAATTTACCGCGATCGATGTCTCATTGAAAGCAAATATATCATCTGGCTATGCAAAATTGTGAAATTAAAAGTAAGATAAATCAAGTCTGTTACTTCTGAATCACTCCTATTATTTTTATTCTCTTTTGATTTATATTATTCTTCATTTCTTCAAATTTTAATTTATATTATTTCTGTTGCGATACATGTTACTGTAATATATATTTTTGTCACTATTGTGTTCCTTCGATTGTTTCTTCTTTCTTTCTCTTTTTTTTTTTTTTTTTTAATTGTATTGAGAAAAATTCAAACTTGCACTTGTTGTTATTATCATTTTAGAATAGTGTGCGAGCAGGTGTCGCATCATCCACCGGTATCCGCGTTCCATGCAGACAGCGACGAGTTCATATTCCACGGCACTATACATCCGAAATTGAAATTCTGGGGTACATCCGTAGAGATACATCCGAAGGGTATTGTCACTGTCGAACTTCCCAAGTAAGTATACGTATGATTGTACAATAACAACATTTGAGCAATATTTGCCCATAAAATATTTTCTATAAATGATTACAGTATCTGGATCAATTATGAGAAAGAAATTGAATTGATCCTTCTCTTTCTGTCGTTCATCAGTCATTCGTCATACTTTAAAATACCCATTAGAGACACTAGAGAGGTAGAAAAATAAGAAAACTTCACGATTTTTATTTGTATATTTTATGAAATTATTATAACTATTATTATATAATACTAAAATTATTATTACAATAACATTAGAGAGGTAGAAAAATAAGAAAACTTCACGATTTTTATTTGTATATTTTATGAGATTATTATAACTATTATTATATAATACTAAAATTATTATTATAATAATTTTAAAATATTATTATAAAAATTATTATAATACTCTCTAGCAATATTTCACGTTTGTAAAGCGTCTAACAAGAATTAAAAATTGATTATTTTGATCACTTTGGTAGTTCTAATGTTATAATAATTTTAAAATATTATTATAAAAATTATTATAATACTCTCTAGTAATACAATATTTACTTTCTAGCAATACGCCTGTAAAGAATTATAAGTTGATTATTTTGATCACTTTGATAGTTCTTATGTTAATATATTTTTATTATATTTCACATAATATAATATTTGTATTATATATATAAATATTATATTATGTGAAATATAATAAAAATATATTAATTATATTATAGTATTATATATATATATATAAATAATATTATAATGTACTATAATATATATTTTACATAATGTGAATCTTATCATTCCTATCAACTTCTCATTTTTAATTTCCCTCTTGAGGTCAAATTAAATCACAGTGGTAAAGAAAAAAATGAAAGAAAAAAAGAAAAGAAAAAAAAACAAATATTTACAATGTCAAATTTTCAAATTTCTGCGTACAGATCAAGTTTAATTTGACCTTATAACAAATATTTATAAATGACGAGAGAATTGATTTCACCGAATTATATAAATGTCGTTCCGTCTTTGTCTATTTTATCATGGCAAATTCATACGTATCATGATTTTATCAAGAACTGAGTAGGTAGCACGAAAGTTTGTGCGTGTGATATTTCAACAGAAACGTGAGACCTTTATTAACCCAGATACGCCAATCATTCTTACAGCACTGTTCTCGTTTAACGTTGGTTGCTTGTTTACCTCCTTCACGGACGAATTTATTTATATCAGGGGAAAACAGTGGTTTTTTTTTTTCTTTTTTTTAAATTCTTATTTAGCGATATTCGTTGAAAGCGTATACACGTTTACGAATGTTAAGAAAAAATATTCGTTAAAAGTACGTTACACGTTTGCGAATACTAAACGAGACTGGCAATATCGGGGAATTAATCTGAAATGCAATGCATCCTAGAATTTTTGTATCTTTTAAAATTGCAAAGATTCTCAAGATTTGTAGAAAATTAGAGCAATAATAAGGTTTAATTTATAGTATATATTTTATATATATTAATTATATTTTAAATATATTTACAGTATATTAATTTATAGTATATATTTTATATATATTAATTATATTTTATATATATTAATAGTAAGGTTTAATTTATATGTATATAGTTTAGAACAAAAGTAACTTACTTTGCAAGAACGTATATAATATAATAATATTTTTTTCTAAAGACGATATATAATAATTTTTATAATATAATTTTAATATAATAAATATAATAAATATAAATATAATAAATTATAATAAATATAATATAATATATAATAATTTTTATAATAATTTTATAATGAATTTTTTTCGAATTAAATTAAAATACAATTTTGTAAATCCATTGATCGAACGAACATAACTGAAAGATAATAGCGAGTATCAATTTCACTTCTCATTTCTCTCTCTCTCTTTTTTTCCTACACTAAAAAATTCACCTTTCACGAAGAAAAGAAAAACACGCTCGCAAGTTTCCCAATTACCAAGACAAAGTAAACTAAAAGCTAAAAGATCGCTAAGCCAACTACTCAGGCTAAATTACGAAACCCACCGTGGAAAATAACGAGGTCCCGTAAAATTAAAAAAAAAAAAGGAAAAATAAATCGTCGACGCCACCTGGTCGTTCTAACAAACGTTGTTTCGCATGAATTTAGATGGAAGGAAGCGTACACTTGGCAGAACATCAACTGCATACTGCACAACGTGCTGGTCGGCCAACTGTGGATGGAGCAGCTTGGCTCCCTCGAGATCAAGCAGAATGGCGGAGCAAACCTGAAAGCGTCTCTTTCTTTCAAGAGCGCCAGCTGCAACGGGAAGGACCTTCATCGGGTCGAAGGCTTCATAACGGATCAAGAGTAAGCTGGTAACAGTTTGTCATCCACTTGAATACGCCAACGAATGATTTCCCAATCACAGCTCGTCAAACTCTTTCCGAACGTGATTGGATGAATTTGCAATTTTTGAGAGTATCTTGGAGTGATTGGTATCGAAGACTTCGAGTAGTATGGTAGAGAGGAATGCCTTGAAATTTTATAGATTTTTCCTTTCCAGCTTGGGACGTTATAGTGTATGTCGAAAATTCTTCCAAAGAGTACTGAATTTAAAGCTCGTCGAGCTTTCAATAATATTCCAGATATTGTAGATTTCTATTCGTATTCGTACTTTTGATGAACACTTCTATGCTGACTTGCTTCGATCACTAAATTATTGTAATGAAATGTAGTATGTCGAATATTTTACATACTCTTGGATGTTATTGAATATATTATTATTGATATAGAATTTTATTATTATTGAACATATTATTATTGATATTGAATTTTATTATTATTGAACATATTCTCATTGGTATTGAATTTCATTATTATTGAACATATTATTATTGGTATTGAATTTCATTATTATTGAACATATTATTATTGGTATTGAATTTTATTATTATTGAACATATTCTTATTGATATTGAATTTTATTATTA